AGCTGTGGAAGAAATATCGTCAGAAAGAAAGCAGCCCTGGTTAATTCTTTGGTTGTTACTCAGGTAATTTGTTTTCTTCTATAGAGAAGTTAGTGGGAGGAGTTTATTCTGGGTAACGCGTGCTATTAACTTTGAAACAGAGCTAGGAAAAATTATGTGGGTTTATTTTGCCATGGTTTGGCTGAGTCCAAAGTGATACAGCAGTGCCAGTCAACAAATCTGCAAGTAAGTGGTGAGTCAACTTCCACAAAAGAAGGAAGGATTAGCACTGAAGCGAATACTTAAATGTTTAGTCCTTTTTATTTGCCCACTTGTCTCAGTCTGAGTCGTATTTTCAAAGTTTTCTCTGTAAGACGAGGACCAGAACTTAGTACACATACATTATATCAATGTATTACATATGGTTATAGATGTATATGTACATGGAAGCAGATAATCTTATGTAAACAGAAAATGTGAGGAGAGACAGCTATTAAAAAGAGAGTTACTGGTCCTGCAGGTGATACTAGTCCAAAACCAAAATTGTCATATCCTTAACAGGTGTTACATTTAGCACACTGGACAAGACATCCGATAACTGAATAATTATGTTCAGGAGCAAAGCATTCAGTCTGTTAAAACTGATTCCCTTGATGTCTGGCCAGTCAAATTTGGCTTATAAATTTATTCATCCAGCAATTGCTTCTCATGGACATCGCTGGCACAGAAGTGTGGATTACAGACATGTAAGTACAAGACATGCCCATGTAGTGCTAGAGGATAAACAGTAAGTGCTCCTCAGACCAAGGTTGGTATCTGGAGAGCCCCCTTCCCTCTGCAAGGTTCCTTTAGGTGTTTTTAGTTTACTGCTATCAATATAATTTTTTAAGATTGTACCTGGTAGTAGCAGAACGCCAGTTCTTGAACCAAAGCTGCGGTCTATTAATGGTTCAGGTGTGCATCAAACATGGCTGAACTTGTGGCAGACTCAACATGTCCACACTATTTAAAAGATTAATTACATGCGACTAGCTTGTTTCTAGTGCACCAGCTGGCTTCTTTAAAGCTAAACCATTTCTCACTGAGCTGCACTCTGGCTTCCTCGTGGATCAGCTTTCTGCTTGTGAAGTTTAGGAAGTGCTTCTAAAATGAATGCAGGTCTGACTCTGACCTTGGTAAGTGCTGTATTGTAGTGGAGGAGGATGTGATTATGAAAGCAAATGGTGTAGTACAGTGCTGCCTTACTGGCATCTGCCTGTCAGTTGATCATATCTGGTGCCCAGTTTTTCATCACTTAACAGCATAAGGTTTAGTTGCTGTTCAGTCTGAGTAAGTTGCAGCAGGAGCATCAGGTTGTGATCATCAAGAAGCTGCACAACGCTGTCACAATATGACATCAACTCTTGTCTTTTATTCTATGCGTCTTTCATTCTGGAGGACAAATCTAGTTTATCCTTCTAAGATCATGTTATGTGATACTCTAAGAAATATACAGACTGCAGCTGGGGAAATTTGCACAATTTTCACAACCATATGGGGCTGGCAGGGTTCAAAATACTTCAGTTGGCAAGAAATAGATTAGATATATTTAAGAACATGGTATTCCTTTGCAATATGGTTGCACTATTCATCTCATTGCTTTGTTTGCTGCTGTTCAGAACCAGTCAGTGTTAACAGAGACACGGTTTGTGGTGAACTGCAGACCTGTCCTAACATGGAGGCCCCTTCTAGCCCCTCTACAGCAGCAGACTGGAACTGAGGCAGAAATGCAGGTCAAGGCCAGGATAAAGCAGTATTACTGGTGTGGAGATTGTAAGCATTTAATAGATGCAGTTGGGGTAAGCCTGAGTTTGCTCAGGACAAGGGTAAATACAGTTTGACAGAAACTTCCAATCTGCATTGATGCCTTTTTGTCACAGGCTTCAATTCTGGTTACTCGCTGAAGGCTTGTGTGAGAGGACTGAAGCAGCAGGAAATCTCTACCCAGCACTGTGTGCCCAGAATAAATCAGCATAGTACTGTGGAATATTGTTCTTATTCAGTTAGCACAATGTCAGATTTGCTGGCCCCAAGTCTAGGACACAGTATGGGATAGAGACCTAAAGCTAGTGGAGCACAGTAAACAGAATTGTAGGAAATTGGATACGACTGTTGTTTAAGACATGCAGCAAATCTTCAGCTACCATTTTTGTCAATCAGGGCTGCCTCTAGTTATGCATGTGGCTATCTGTGGAGTCTCTATCTTATTGCAGGATACAATACATTTGCATGAGTGTTGCAGAGAGGACTGCGCTCTGCCCAGAGCTCAGAACTGTCTGGGCAGGGGAAAAGTTCCAGTATGAAGGGTTGTGTTGTCAGCGGGAACTTACAGTGTCACCTCTAGCGCTCTTCCCTGCTGGTTCAGCATAGGCATGGGTGTGCTAAATTTTGTGGGAGGTAAATTCAGGTACAGATCTGGGTGTTTAAAACACTGAAGGCAAGCAGTGTAGCAGCTGTCCAGGGATGGCCCTTCATTGTGCAAATTTGTTAGACCTAAACCATTCCTCACAGATGTTTGTCAGACCTACCTGAGCCTCAGTGCCTCTCCACACTACCTGCGGCTTCACCAGCCATAATCAATAGGCAAGAAACTTTGAGTAGCTTTCTAGTGGCCTCTGTTTCATACCACTGCTTATAGAAATTAATTTGTGAATAAGGTTGAGAAGCTACCAGATTTGTATGAAATCAGTATTGATTTAGGACTAAAATTAAACTATTTGAGAAAGAATTTTAGATTGAGAAGAATTTTGGATTTAGATCTAAGAGGGTGGATATTCCTTGGTATTATAGTCTAAATCAGCACTTAGTGAAAATACTGGGAAGTTGTCTAATGTAGCACACTATTACTAAGTCACTGTGGGTTTATTCTGTATCATTAAAAGCAGTATTGAGTTCAATCAGTTTCCTGTTTTACAGGTGTGAATTTAAATGATCACTACAGCATCACTCCTTTAACGGTGTTCTCCTAAACAAAGGAGTTTTCTTCTATTCCTCTGTTGCAGGTCATGGCAGAAGAAGAGTTACCAGGTGTTTTGATCCTGGATATAGGAGGAACTCATGGTGTGCTAGAAAACCTTGCAGCACTTTTGAAGAAACACTTTCACCTTATCACCATGAAGGAATTTCTTGAAAACAAAAAAGAAATGAGCAAAAAAATCCAATCTGTTTTCGTGTTTGAGTGCAGGCCAGCTATTGACCGGGAGCTTCTAGAAAGCCTGCCTAATTTAAAGGTAATTGGAAACTCTGGGGTTGGAGTCGATCACTTAGACTTGAAAATGATTTCTAACTTTGGCGTAAAAGTGACCAACACCCCACATGCCGTAGCGGACTCAACAGCAGACATAGGAATGGCCTTGATGCTGGCCTCTGCCAGAAGACTAGTGGAAGGTAACGTTTTAAATTTTCCTGGATCTTAGCTACTTCTTTGGCATATCTCACTTTTACTATGATACAGATGATTTGTCTGAATCAATATTTGAGATGCTTTTACGGGAAAAAAAATTTCTGAGGACTCCATTTTCAGAGGCCTCTGCTTTTCCTATGTCACGCTTCTTTTTAAGGCAATGGTGACAAGAGTAAGGCCTTTGTCTAAATTATGCACTTTAAAGTCACTTATGATATCCTGTTTGGAATAATGTCTGGGGCTTAATTCTCTGGCTGTTCACTGGGTAGGTTGTTTAAAGCTGTAAAATCTGAATACAAAAGGCATCCAAATCAAATGTCACCACTTCTCCATTTCACCTTGGAACAAGTGTTAGGAGCTACAGGAAGGTACAAAGCATTAATGGCTCTGTCCCCATCTCTAGAGCAGTAATTAGTATAATTTTTCAATTTTTTTTCCCGCTTCTATGAAGAGTTTGTCTAAACCAATGGGTTGTATTTCCAGAAAAGCATCAGCATTATTATTGAAATAGCTGATAAGCCTTTTGACAAAGTTATTCCAAACTATACCACCAACATTAGGTGAGGTCGTTTCCTTAAAGGTAGATCCTTTCCCCACATGCCCTTGCTACGCAATGCCTTTCAGGGGAAGGAAGGTGTCAGCAGAGACTATGACAAGAAGTTGCCTCTGTCTTCAGGGACTCTGTCACTGCTGCTCCACCCATGAGCATGAAATAGCACCCCTTTCCTCGTGATGTTTTCTCACTATTGCATCTTGCTGGACCTCACCTTCTTTGTATAAAAGCTCACAGAGATCCCTGGCTGAGCTGGAATTTGCAACCTTCACCCCAGCTCAAGCAGTGGGGCTGCTTGGAGTTGTGATCCAGGAGAGAAATGGTGAGATTTACCCCAGCTAAAAAAAAGTGAAGTCAATGCTTGTGGGGTGGTAAGCATCAAAGAAGCTATTTTTGAACTTCCAAGAAAATATTCCAGCCATAGAAGAGTTAATTCCCTGAGGAGCCATTCTTCCCAGCACAGTACCCACCTGGGAGCCCCCCTGTGTTACTGGCTCCAGCCCTGGCTGCAGGGAATGGCGCCATCCAGGCCCTTCTATAACCTCTTCAAAATTAACAAGGATGTTTTGTAAGGGGTACTCCAGACCCCCACTGCTGTGATGGTGAGAAACTTTTTCTTTCCTCCAAACCTATGTTTGTGGTCGGTTTGTACCCATTTAGCATGTATTTACATTCAGGCTGCCAGATTGCAGTTTCTCCAGACACGAAGTATTTTGCTGTTGACTGGCTGGGAGTGGAAGTAACCGGAGCGACTCTTGGGATCATCGGGATGGGCAGCATTGGGTACAAAGTCGCTCAGAGAGCCAGGGCCTTCAACATGAGAATCCTGTACCATAACAGGAATCGGAGGTAAAAACGTCTGGTTTCTGCATGTAATTAGTGCAGGGGCAGTGATGGAAACCACAGCTCTGCTCTGTGTCTCTGGTCTTCTGGGCACTTGGGACAGTTGTAAGCAGCATGAAGAGCACCCACGTGTTGCCACTTCCTCACTTTGGCTCCCTACTGCTCCCCTCAGGAAGCAGCTCCCCCTTGCCTCCTGCACTCACTCTGCCCTGGTTAGCTACTAGAAGTTTGGAATAAGGGCCATGTAACCTTCCTGAAGATGTTGACTAAGCAAAGCAGGCCTTGTGCCCTCGTTGTGTCCCCTGTCCTGCCAGACTCTTCTTCAGGCTTCTGGCAGCATCCCTGGCCCACCCAGCCAGTCACCCCTCTCCTCAGCCCAGCCAGATGACTCATCACACCGGCACCAATGACAAGGATCTTGGCTTGTCTTAGTTTTATAGTTCCCTTTCTTTCAGACTGTGTTTACCCTTCATTCGTTTTCCACCCTAAGTCCTAATTCACATGTCAGGCAAGGAGAGACGCCTTGGGGATTGGCATTTAAAATACATTTATAAAGCCAACACAGCTTTTAACTCACCACTTTTAGCCTATGTCTTCAGCATGCATAGTCTGTACCCTCACTCCCAAGAGTAAGTTGTGTATCTGAGCAGTATCAAATGCTACAGGAAGGATTTTTGCAAGAGAAAAAGAAACATCTTTCAGATTAGAAGCCAAATCAAGATCCTAGTCACAGTCTAGACAATGAAGGAATTAGATGAGGAACCTTAACTAATGATCCATCTTCTCAAAAACCAGCACTAAATAGCGAACAGTGTATTTGCGTTACTGGAAGCACAAAGCAGCTGCCTCTCTTGCCTGCTGTTAGAAATTTGCCTATTTATGAGGTCAGTCGTTTGGAAAGCTCGGAGTAGGCCTGAGTACTAGCTTGTGATCACAACAATCAAACCCTGCAATTCAGAATTCTAAAATTTAAAGTGTCACAGATGGATGATCCTTCCCCAATCCAGAGATTGACATAGACACAGAAGAGAAGAGTGGGTTCTGACTGCATACCCAGCCTCCTGTACCTAATAATATTGCGTATGTGCTTTGCTTTCACACACACATCACTCTTTCAGTGTCCTGCCACTCCTCTAGCCACTTGCTCCCTCTAGCCCGCATCCATCCCAGCTCCCTTCCACCATCTGTATCTATCAATGTCTTTTCCTTTACTTTGGCCTCAAACTTCTTGATCTCTGAGCTGTTTCAGATCTCTCCTAGGGTTGATTGATTGTTAAAGCCAGTTAGAAATAGTTGCGTCAATTTGGGGGGCTGTGCATTTTTCCTTCAGAATAAAGGAGGAAGAAGAAGCAGTTGGTGCCCACTACTGTGAGAAGATGGAAGACTTGCTGCAGCAGTCTGACTTTGTTATGTTGGTTGTGAACCTGACTCCTGAGACTCACAAACTGATTGGGAAAAAGGAGCTGGGGCTGATGAAACCCACAGCTACTGTTATAAACATCAGCCGAGGTAGGACAATCTAAAAGTACTGTTTGAGGCTCCACAACTAAGGTTGTGTTTTGTCTGATTATGTTGACATTCCCCCCTCCAACCTCAGTCTGTGATATCCCTGTATTGTTTGAGTCATGAAGTAGCTGACAGTTTACAAATTAATGACTTATCATAGATCAGGTGCTATGTATTCAAAAGTCCTATGGAATTTAGAGATGCCTAGCAGATGTTCTGTTCTCTTTAGCCTTATCCTAAAGACAGCTTTTTTTAGTGGAAATAACTGAAAGGTTTATCATCACCAATGATGAACGGGGTACAAGGAAAAACATAAGTTTCATTTGGAATAGCTATGTAGAAAAGAATCCACACATGGAATTACATATCTGTTGGCACTGAACAAGCATATGAGAGAGATTATAGTTTCAGTAAACAAAGTAGAGATAAAAGAGTGGAAAGCTTGGAGAGATTATGTGATTTGTCTATAATAATAGGGGAGGTCGGTGTCAAAATGAGGAAAAGACTGAAACTAGTCACATCGCAGGAAAAGCCTTATGCAGTGGACCATAATCCTCTAATTAAAGATTAATAAAATCTCTGTTTTGTTTGGTTAATATTTATTAGAAATACTTTCTAACAAGATGAAGATCCTGTAATTTTTCTCACTAGACCCTTGAGACCTTTCCCCACTCTGAGGTAAAAACATATTCATTAACTCGTCATGATAGCAAGACTTCATTTCAATGCAGGTGCAGTTATTGATCAGGATGCCTTGGTAGAAGCTCTCCAGAATAAGGTTATTAGGGCTGCCGCTCTGGACGTGACATACCCTGAGCCTCTGCCAAGGTAAACAAACCTGTTTTCCATTCTATTAATCTGAAATGTTTTAAACTGTGTGCAAAAGTGTGCTTATAATCCTGATCTCCATGGGGAGCCTCTCTCACTGTTCAAGGGCAAAACCTCAGCCTGTCTCGCACAAACTATTTGCCTTTCCCTCATCTGTCAGTTCTTTGCCAGTCTAACTGACAGGCAAGACAACGAGACCAATAGAGAGGAAGAAGAAATGGGTAGGCAGGCTTCCCACAGCTTTCTGCTGGTTCTATGCTTGTGGCTCTTTTATCTCAACATGCCATTGCTGTTTCCTGAGGTTCAGGTCTTAACAACTAGCATGGGATAGCTGCAGAGTAAATTCCCTGTGTAATACATGCTGTTCTTTCTGTTTCTTACAGAGATCATCCTTTATTAAAATTAAATAACATCATCATAACCCCTCACATTGGAACTGCAACAGTCCAGGCTATCTGTATGATGGCAGAAGAAGCAATAGCAAATATGCTGGCTGTTCTCAATGGCCAACCCACTCCAAGTGAAGTGTTTCCCAAATGATGTGTGCCAGATGATATCGCTAAATCTCCTGTGTATGGGAAGGCACTATTTCTTACAGCACCACTTTTAAACTAAAAAAAAGGCGACCTGTTCCTGCACTGCTGTTGTTGTCGTGATACTGCAGAGCTGTCATGTCACTAGACTTGATCTGTATTGTTATTGACAATTCTGAAAAATAAAGTGGAACTAATAAAAGGAATTTGTTTGAAGATTTTGAACTGAGCAGTTATGCACTTTGACATCTTCAGTCCATTATTTCATTGAATACCTGTGTTGTGTTCCCAGTACTTGCTGCTACATAATGATAAGCAAGTACACCAAGCAGTTTGTGTAACACTCTCAAATATATTAAAGGTGAAGTGAGCATTAATTCCCTGCAGAAATTTGACTGTATCCTGAAACACTTTTCGGTCAATATCGCAATATTCTATTTTTATATCAGAACACTGAAGAAAGCAGACTCCTTTGAAATGATCGTAGGCCTAAGGTTTTCGAATGTAGGAAGAGCTCTGCTTCATCTACATGTTGAATCAAAGCAAAGCCAATCATTGAAAAAGTCTCTTTGATTTTCTTGATGATCCTTTGGAAACCAAAGTAAATCCCAAGAGATTTAGTTCCTCCATGCAGACAAAAATGATTCTTTTATCTTGACTGGCCATGAAACAATAGTAGATCTTCCACTGAAATCACATGGGTGAGGGCACAACCTAAAGCAAAATTAGTGATCAGTCCTAACTTGCAGCCCAGGGCCGGGCTTTTTCTTACATTCTCTTTTCTATGAGCAAGCAACAAAGTCAGAAAATTCAGTGAAACGTTTGTCACCTCCATAAAATCAGGAAGCCATTCCATTATTTTGCAATATGATCAGGCTTCTTGAAGGGACGGTAAAATGGCATTTTGGCAGAGGAAGTGTAGACCCGCCAAGAGTCAGACATTCAGATGCAAATAGTGAAACACTACTGAGAAGACAACAGCAAATATTGCAATAACAAGACAACAGCAAGTATAGCTATAGAGGATTGCAAGATCTTCAGCCCTTGAACAGCTTTCCCTGCAGCTCTTCCCAAAATTCCAATGGAAAATCAATGGTAGTTGTAAATAGTCTATTAAAAAAAAAAAAAGGCAAGCAAGCTGTCAATTCATAGACCCTCTGGGAACCACAAACGGATGGTCAGTGATTCCTGAAAAACAAAACCCCACATTTTAATTTGAGTGCATAAGTCCTTCTTTCCTTCTTGGAAAGCACTTGCCTAAGCATCTATTATTTTAACTTTATGATAGCCTCAGGAGAAATCACTGCAGTTAAGAAGGCACTGCTGTCTCTTCAGGACAGGAGGATGCAAAAATCTCTGCAATGAAGCATTTAAAAATTAACCTGGTAACTCAAAGTTCATGATAGAGCTCCGCAATTTATTTCCATGAACTAGATTTGGTCCAACATTTTCTAAACTACTTAGACATGGTAATTTGTGATTTCAGGGTAGAGAAGGAGATTTATTGCACCAGACTATTGATGGTCTGAAACTAAGCAATTAATGAGAAATAATTTTGTGTTATGAGCCTGGTGGCAGTGATATGAAACCTTACAGAGCATGAGGGACGGAAGTTGTTCAGACTTGATTATGTCAATACCTGGGGGCGGGGGGGTATAATTGGTAGTATCCTTAAAAGAGCTGCTTTCTTGTCTTGGTTTGTTTGTCTCTCTATCTAAATATGTGGTTCATATGATCTCTTGTCATAGCTGTCATGAAACAGGACACGAAAGTGATTATTCTTTAAAATGTCTGGAAATAATTATGTCTTCTGACACTTTATGTCTTTCTTCTTTGTGCAGATCATGGGAGGAGGAGAGCTACCTGGGCTTTTGGTAAATGAAATCGGTGGCATACATGGGATACTGAATTCATTCCTGAAGAAACATTTCTATCTCATCACCATGAAGGAATTTCTTGAAAACAGAAAGCATATGAGTAAAAAGGTCCAAGCGATCTATTTGTGGTGGCACAAACCAGTCATTGACCAAGAGCTCCTCCAGAGCCTGCCAAACTTGAAAGTGATTGCGAATTCAGGAGTAGGGATGGATCACCTGGATCTGAAACTTGTAGCTAGCTTTGGTGTGAAGATGGCTAATGCTCCACGTGCTGTTTCCAGCAGCACAGCAGATACTGGGATGGCTTTGCTGCTGGCATCTGCCAGAAGACTAGTGGAAGGTAACATCTCAATTCTTTTGTGGG